AAACTGATAAACAAACATACAGGAAGAGATGACAGAAAAAAAGACTGAAGGCACAGAAATGGGAAGAAAAGACAAAAAGAGATCAACCACATGAAAAAAATAAACAGTCAAAAAGAGAGACTGGTCGAAAGATAGTAGAGGGCAAGGAAGCAGAGATAGATAAGTTAATACAAAGAAAGACATACAGACAGACTCTCAGTTTGAGCTTCAGTCTGCAGGTTGTTTATCTCCTGAGCAGCCACAGACCTCAGACGTCTTGTGGTATGAAACTAAAGACTTTGAGTTGTGGCAGGTTTGACATGCGATCTCATCACCAGTGGACACTGTGGTCGGCTTTTCTTGTGACAGACGATTTACCCGTGTGAGTCCTTGCGCTAATCAGAGGTCACCGGGGTCGTCGGCAGCCAGGGAGGACGTATCGATCAAGGTGATTCGATGGAAAAAAAGGGCTGGATAGGGAAGCAAAATCAATGCGAGGATATCCATCTGCAGCTAACCTTTGGTTCTCCACAGGCTTCAGCTCTAAGTAGGAACAATCAATGCTGTGATCAATCAGTGTATAACTGAGTGGGAAAAAAACTCCAGGGTAAGCAATTTGTGTAAACATGTAGCCTGTAATCAAAAGCTGGATTTCTATTGGGTGGAGCATGCGATTAAAGTTAAGCCTGCTGATCTTTTAAAAAAAACCAAAGAAGCAAAGTCAATCATCCGTTAAATTCAGTGTTCTCTTTGACACGATGTCCTCGGCTGGTCACATTAACAAGGAGCTGTTTTAACACACGTCTGACAGGCAGCTCCTGATTGTAACTGACATGTTGCTTTGTCAGCGCTGCTCCCTTTTTGCTACCGGAAGGCCCCGGAGACAAAGGTGCTTCTTATTGTTTAACAGTGCACAGAGAGGATAGCGGAAAAACGCATCTGCACAAAGACAGAAATGCCATTAAGACGACTCACACCTGCAATCTCTGGGTCTATCTTTTTTCCGCGAAAGATTGCAGAAAGAGCTGTTTCCTGTGACGGCTGCACAGTCAGACTTCTTCGTTGCCATCCATCAGGAACATCATCAGCTCCTGCGGGGGGGGGGACCTGCTTTCTTTCACTGTCGTCCAAACCACAGCACTGAGACTGCTCTTGTAAAGGTCTTCAATGACATCCACTTAAACACAGACAGTGGCAGAACTTCAGTGTTAGTATTATTAGATCTCAGTGCTGCGTTTGACACTGTTGACCACAACATATTACTAGACCGACTAGAAAACTGGGTGGGACTTTCAGAAACAGTTCTAAATTGGTTTGAATCCTACTTAAAGGACAGAAACAACTTTGTTTCTATAGGTAAATACACATCTGAGTTGACAAATATGACATGTGGGGTACCTCAAGGCTCCATCTTGGGGCCTCTTCTCTTTAACATCTACATGCTACCACTGGCTCAGATAATGAAGAACAACAAAATAAGTTACCATAGCTATGCGGATGACACACACATTTACGTAACAATTTCACCAGGAGACTATGCTCCAATTCAAACACTGAGTAAGTGCATTGAACAAATCAATGACTGGATGTGTCAGAACTTTCTCCAATTAAACAAAGATAAAACTGAGGTAATAGTTTTTGGAGCCAAGGCAGAACGTATAAAAGTTAGCGCTGAGCTTCAGTCTGCAATGTTCAAAACAACAGATAAAGCCATAAATCTAGGTGTAGTCATGGACTCTGACCTGAGTTTCAACAGTCACATTAAAACAGTTACTAAATCTGCCTACTATCACCTAAAGAACATATCTAGGATTAAAAGACTAATGTCACAGCAGGATTTGGAAAAACTTGTCCATGCTTTTATCTTCAGTAGACTCGACTACTGTAATGGTGTCTTCACAGGTCTCACTAAAAAATCTATTAGAAAGCGGCAGCTGATTCAGAACTCTGCTGCTCGAGTCCTCACTAACACTAAGAAAGTGGATCACATCACTCCTGTTCTGAAGTCTTTACACTGGCTTCCTGTGTGTCAAAGAATAGATTTCAAAATACTGCTGCTGGTTTATAAAGCTTTGAATGGTTTAGGCCCAAAATACATTTCTGACCTACTGCTAAATTATGAACCATCCAGAACTCTCAGGTCTTCAGGGACTGGTCAGCTTTCTGTCCCCAGAGTCAGAACTAAACATGGAGAAGCAGCGTTCAGTTATTATGCTCCAAATATCTGGAACAAACTCCCAGAAACCTGCAGGTCCGCTGCAACTCTTACTACTTTTAAATCCAGGCTGAAGACTTTTCTTTTTGTCGCCGCTTTTAATTGAACTATTCACATCTTAAACTGCACTGTAACTTTTATCCATGTATTTTTTCTTTTAATGTTTATTTTATTATCTTTTCTTTTTAATGACTGATTTTAAATGCCATTTTCTTAATGTCTTTCATTTTTTTGTAAAGCACTTTGAATTGCCTTCTGTTGAAAGGTGCTATATAAATAAACTTGCCTTGCCTTGCCTTATGGTAGTGAGCAGCGACGGAAACTACTTAAAGGGAAAGGGTGCCATTTCACACATCAAAGGTCTCTGAAGTTCATATAAAAATAAAAACTGTAAAAAGCCTTTTGAGCTTCCAGGAGGAGTTGCACCAAAACTGTTGGGATTTCACTTAAGTCAGTTACAGGCTGAAGACTACAAGTTTGGAGATACATACAAAATCTGGGGGTGTAATTGTAGAAACAAGTGAGTATTTTTGTCTTAGGCTAGCTTCGAGCATATTTATTTGGTGGTCGAGATGAATTGTGGGTAATGTAGGCCCTATGTTTTGGCAAGGAACAATAATAATAAAAGACAATATCTCTCGTTCTGCTGTTTCCATTTTGACCCTTTTGTTTTTTGTTACTTTGAGTACAACAAAGTTTCATGAGTGCAAAGCTTAACCAAATAAATGAATGCATTGGCAAAATGTATGTGGTTATCCAAAATAAAATAAAACAGCTCTGATGATGTTGTGAGGATTATCTCTTTTTTAACTAGGGCTCTAGAGTTTGATTATATTTAGACTTCAATGAAAGACTCTTCTGCTTCACAATTTTGATTAATAACCTTAAAAGGAACAGACAAAAGAGTCTGCACAGCACTATTCATACACAATATTGACATGTTTCTAAGCTTGTAATGATCATTATAGTCATTGACAAGATCATACAAAATGTAATGATGGATTGTTGTAAGTATGCATCAGTGTGAGCAAAACAAAACATGGCGTGCAGAAAAAAACACACACATACAGTGACAGTACACGCAGGTAGATATTGTCAACTCATCACGTCTTCCTGTCAGTCTGCTTTTAGATGTTTGTGTTTTAGTCTTTGTGGGGGGGTCCGGGTTCTGGCAATGCTCACACATAGGCCTACTGCAGCCTGTATGAACTGTCAGCTGTTCCCACCCTAAGGTTTCAGTTGTCCTCTCCAACGCTGTCTGTTTCTCTGATCCCAGACACAGTGAGGCACCCAGGAGGCACCCTGTCAACAGAGCCGAGCTGCAGCGACATGCTCCTGTCCCGCTGTCACAACAAACTGTACAGCACTGACACAGCACTCTTTTAGGCACAATCCTCATTTTTGGGGGACTAACAGTGTTGCAGCTTAACCCTAACGGCTTTAGGTTATGGCTCATTATGAGATTCATTGTCTCTAAACATTGTCAGAGACTCCCAGGAATCTTTCCTTTCCTGCTATTGTAAACATCCTGAGCTAAATGTCTTACTATTTTACCCAGCGGTGTATTTATAGAGCTGCTGTGACTGCTGCGCTCACCACAGGCTGAATAATCTTCACATCTTTCCCAGTATAGACATGGCTTGAAAGCCTCATACAGTTATCTTGCAGGTAAAAGCTCCTCAAAACTCACATGCTGCGGTTGGCTGTTCTGACGCATGCACTTAAAAGACTGCAACATTTATCAGTACACGCTCAATATGTGCCGAAAAATGCAACGTGTCTACAAAATGACTTGCTGACTAGTTTTTTCACTGAGCAACAGTTGCCTTTCTTGCCAAAAGTCAGATAAGCAGATCAATACCACTCTCTTATGTATGTGTGAGGTAAATATTAATTTAGAGCCAGAACACACTTAGCTTAGCTTAGCACAAATACTGTATGAAGGGGGAAACAGCTAGCTTTGCTCTGTCCACCTAACATAATCTGCATCTCATTAACATGTTTACCTTTATGTCTAATCGTACCACTTGTTGTAAGGGTTTAGTGAGCTTTAGTGGTACTGGTAAGCAGATTGTGTCACCTTTAAAAATAAGCAGGCTAGCTGTTTTCCTTCCTACACATTTTACTCTTCTATAGGCTATGTTGTTTTTCTTTACATTTGGTATTGTAACTCAAACGAGTACAGTACAGACCAGTATTTCCCCTGTTTCTCATTCCTCGTGCAGTCACACTGCATTTCACCCCTCCACTTGCACACAACGACCTTGTTCTAAGCTTTATTGCAACCATGCTGATGATCTGGAAAATGGGATTGCATGGTATGTAAAAGAAGATCAATTTAGCGAAGCACCTGATTGCTTGCTTTTGCTTTTTTAAGAACAGCAGTGGATCCAACTATAATCCTTAGGAATGAAAGCACAGTAGAAAATGGAAACAGCTGACCAGGAATATATTTAATAAATGTGATATGACTTTTCATAACCTCTGCATAAATCCATAAGGAGAGGATCCGACCACCTCATGTCTCTCACTTAAAGCTCAATGTCTCCCCCTTCTGGCAACCTGCATTTGACTCTGGCCCTGTGCGACTGTGCAATGGGTCTCAAACGATTTGTCATAATTAAATAAATACCAGGTGACACCTACATCCAGAGTGGAGGAACTTGTCTGTGACATAATCTTGTACGGTGTTAGATTGAAATGTTGACTAACTTGCCTTTCAGCCTCCATTTTCCAGGTATCAGTTACAAAACTTTACCTGAATTTATGTCTTGCTAACTTCCTGTCCTCCATGTTGTGATTCCAGCTGAGACCGAGCGAGGCCAGAGGCTCCCAGATGTGGACGCAGCACAGCAGCTCAAGTTAAGAGAGAGGCAGCGTTTCTTCGAGGAGGTCTTCCAGCACGATGCGGACGTCTACCTGTCCTCGGCGCACCTGTGTATCCGAGACTTTCAGAGACGTGAGTTAGACTGCTGGCTTCTCCATGACTCCAAAATGAATGTTCATACAGATTATTTCATTGCCTCCCCTTCCCCTGCAGCTCCAATTGGCAGCATCTCATCCATGGAGGTGAACGTGGACATGATGGATCAGATGGAGCTGATCGACGTCTCGGACCAGGAGGCCTTAGATGTGTTCTTCAGCTCCAGTGGAGAAGAGGGGTCCATGACCTCCCCGCTGCCAGGTATGGAAACCAGAAGCAGGGCAGAGATTAAAATACACTTTACACACAAAAAGTAATGCACTACAATATGTATGTGACCAACGTAGTCGTGATTCATGCTAGGTGACGTAGTTTGAATAAGGGAGGATGGTCCGAAAACCCCAGACGTTCAGGAGACCATTGTTCATGTCACATTTAAAACCCAAATGCAAACATGGTGTATTTGTTACGTGTCTTTCGTATTTTGGAAAACTGCATTTCCATAGTTATTTTGCAGGAAGTAAAAATACGAAATATAATACCTTTGAATGTGGATAGTCTTAATAACATCCCTAACACTTTTTTTGTATCTAACTCACAGTCCAAGGAAACAACAACAATGGGGAGGTCATCAACAATGGACTCTTTCGACATGTCCTCGAGGGTCTTGATGCCAAGTCCCGCATGTCGTCCACGTCTTCAAACTCCTCCTCTGACAGCCAGAGTCTGGACGCCCACCGAGGAGAAATCTGCGAAGTCAGGTCAGAAGATGAGAAAACACACACCAGCACAATTAAGCGGAGAGCCGTGCCTCCTGAGATGGAGAGAGTGAAGAGTCATACTCCATCAGCATCTTCGTAGGACGCGCCCTCTCCACCTGCAGCACCTAGATTACACTCCCGGCAGGTGGCAAAAAATGGACTTCTGGACGAGAGCCAATAAAAGAGCCTCCACAAACTGGCTCTTCTCACTGCTTTCAAGCTTTTCATTTGATTTATGAGTTATAGGGTTGGGTTCTGTGTGTGTTTTCGAGACTGTAAATACTGGGATTTCTTATTAACCCTCAACTATTTCTATTCATGTTTTGGCATGTTGTAACGGACGTGATTTGTTGCCCTGTTGTTGACCTCACTGGACCTGTTGACGATGAATGATGACTTAAGGTACATTTGGCAAAACACCACCGTGTTTCTAATAATTAACAAAACAGTTCCTGGTTATTTGAAGGTGTTTCAGGAAAGGTAGTGATACGTGTTCTTCCATGGAAACTTGATGACGCTACAACCACAACCTGTGAACCAGAACCAAAAAAACACTGGCTATTATTTGTGTGAGACGTTACTATGTATGTTGAGTTATCATCGTTCAGACTTTGTTTGTATAGCACTTCTCATACAATTAAAATGTAGCGCAAAGTGCTTCACACTGTACAACAACCCTATCCCCCTCTATGCACACACAAAGCAATTAATGGGTTTGTAATAATAAAGAAACTCAAAAATACCAGCATAAATGAATGTATTTTTTTTTTTTTCTGGGAAAAAAGTATCTTTTTCTGAATTCAGAATCAGATTCTTTTTTTCATGTGGCCCTAAACCTCTTCCGTAGGATTTGAACCGGCGATCTAACAACTTAATACAGTCTTTTTATACATTTTCTTACAACTAAGATGTCCATACAGCTCTTAAAATTATTTAATTCATTCATTCCATAATTAATATTTGCACTGTGCACAGATAAAACACAAGACAAACAGATCAATACATATAGCTTGACTTATAGCCAGGCTGACTGCATAGTGACTGTATGACGCTGTTTCGGAAGTCCCGTCCCTGCAATAACTGTGAAGAAAACCTCATGAGCAAACAGTGGAATGTAGAGGGTTGTAATTAAATATTGACACACACACACACACACACACACACGCACACACACACACACACACACACACACACACACACACACACGCACACACGCACACACGAACACACACACACACACACACACACACACACACACACACACACACACACACACACACACACACACACACACACACACACACACACACACACACACACACACACACACACACACACACACACACACACACACACACCAGTGATTGATACGTTCTCGCAGTGGGCTTGAAAAGAGGAGTGGTCAGGTTCTCGTACTACTCAGAAAAGTCAGTCCTCAAACACTTGCAGGCGGCTGAACTGAACAAGCATCATGCTCTGCTTCTTCTTCTTGGTATGTACTAGCAACACCGGCTTTTCTGAATTTATTTCAATTTAATTACACTTGTTTTTTATCTTTGTATTGGAAATGAAAGTGTGACACAATGTCATTTCGAGGCAGCATAATTTCCATTATTATCTATGGAAATCAGTCACTTGTTGTTAGTAAATATAATTTTTCATCACTCTGCTTTTCTACACATCTGCGTTCTGTGTTTCCGTGTCTTACAAGATGTAAAAAGTTATTGTCAAACATAATGTGCAAAGTACAGTTTTCCATGTGATGTAGCTGCTTCTGTGGAACTGGTTCACCAACTATGCAGCAGAGGTTAATTTACAGGTGTACAGGAGGCATTAACTATGAGCTCCAACCTCAAACAAATCATACTTTGCATGTTGTACGTTGTGAGTACCCTGCACTTCAGGTTTGGTTGGCCCTTGGTCTTTCAGGTGAATTATTTGTCGAGCGCAGCATGCTCAGAGCTGCTGAGTCGTCACAGAAGGTCTTGGATCATCGACTCGTTCACCATAGAGGAGGGGCATCCCGGGCCCTTCCCTTATGTGCTGGGAAAGGTGAGAGACCCCCACTGGTCAGACAATAAACCTTTTAGCCAACTTAAATACCAAATTGTATTGATTTACAGACCCATTAATTCTAATAACTGCTGTTACGAATCTTACCATTGGTATGCAAAGCTCTTAGGACTTGCTTTCATTTTTCATTGCTTCTAACCAAATGTAGGTCATGTTTTTTCCTTGGACAAATACAAGTTTCAGGCTCCCCAAAGCCAAGCGTAAAGTGTCTGGTGATGTGTTTTAGATAACTATTGATCGGGACTATCGAGTGAGGTTTGATCTGTATGGGGAAGGAATGGACGAGGAGCCGAAGGGAGTCCTCACCATTGATAAAGAATCTGGCACCTTGTACGTCAACAGGGCCGTGGACTACGAGGAGAAGACAGTGCTGAAGGTTAGACATAGATATCAACATGAAGTAACAACTAGTCAACCACTTTCTTATAAATCACCTAAAAAGGCCTACACACTGATAAGGGATGCACAGTCTGTCATAATTATTGGTATTCAAAAGAACAAACACACTCTGTATTGCTCAGACTAGTATTAAATAATGTGTCTAATTAAGCGATTAGTTTGAATTCACTTTTTTTAACATCTGTTTTGTTTATGTTTCGTCTCTGCTGCTGTTTTATAGTAAAATCAGACCAAAATCAAAGCATAATGTAATCAGCGGAAGGTTTTTTACTAGCAATTAGAGTTTGGAAAGGAAAAGTTAGGTGTTTTTTTTTTATGAGCTTGTATGAGGAACAAAAAGAAAGGCACACCTAAAGAATTCTGTTCATACACAACCGGAAAAAATCTGCCACTTCCTTATAGAGCCCCTCCTCCAACACACACGAACGCGCACATGACCAATGAGGGCACGAGATAAGTTTGTGCCCCGATGGAAGGCTGACACGCAGGTAGGCCATCCAGTTATTTTAGCCGGGCCGGCTAAAATGATTGGTCGTACTTTTTACAGTACTACGGCTTCCACAGATGACATTTTTTAATGGATTTTTTGTCAAAGCACTTAAGATATTCATTGCTATCGGGATGTTAAGAGCATTCCATGGAATATAACAAAAAGTGTATCTCGAGCCGGTTTCTCAAACTTACCTACCTTTAATGTATTGTATTGTAAGTTACATTTTCAAAAATTAATCAAATCAAGTTGAAAATACACAACGCAAAGATATTTTTAGTATCTTTACCTGCAATTCAGTTGAGATTATCATGTTTTCTTCTCATATAACACCTTTTTACCGTTTAATCACATGTTTTCTTTACATTAGGACTAATGTTGAGTCCCATCTTTCAATCTGTAGCTGAGATTTGAGGCAATGAAGACAGATTCGTTGATTGACACCAAATTAGGAGTTGAAATTGGAATATCAGACATCAACGACAATCCACCTCGCTTTCAGAGGGATCTGTTTGAAATCAGCGTTGATGAGGACGCAACACAAGGTAGAGGATATAGTAAAGATGTGATATGCCTTTTCTTGTTTCCTCACAATATCTGGTAAGTACATCCCTTTCTTTGCTTTGTCATTTCCCAACAGGCTGTCATGTTCAGACTATGGTAGCCTACGACAAAGACGAGAGAGGGACGCCAAACTCAACGTTCCACTATGAAATGAAGTCTGTGTCTCCAAACCATCCGGACACTGAGTTCACTATTGATTCTGAGTCTGGGACAATGTCCTTCAAAGGGTGTTTGGATCACGAGGTAAGTGTCTGTACATTGTTTGCTGTAAGTTCATTTATTGCAGCAGTTCTTGTTCTGCAGGGTCTTGGAATGTAAAATGTGACACATGATATATAGTGTCACGTGTACAGAACAGAATGTGCTGTTTTTCTGTTTACTGTCTGAAAACATTTAAGTTATGTTTTAAAACACACCTGTTGTATGTGAAGCAGAGTGAGTTGACCTTCTTTAAAATCTGAAGATGATATGATATATATATATATATAAAAAGAGTATAGCTGCACCCTAACACCTTTAGCTCACTATTAATTGTGCTGATAATGCCACTTTTTGATAATACAATTACCATTAAAGAAGAGAAATGGACCCTGACTGGATGGTAGCCCAGTTCTGTATTTCATAAATCTAATCATATCTTTTTGATTTGCTTGTGTTGAGGTGGCTGAGATGTTCACAGTGGTGGTGGAGGCCAAGGACCACGGTGACGTAGTCAGTCTGTCCAGCTCAAGCACTGTTATCATCCACGTCCAGGACGGCAACAACCACCTCCCAGCCATCAGTGGACAAACAGTGAGCATATTTTCTTTATTTGTTGACATAACAATGATTACACATTAACACACAGTTCTTGGTGCTTTACACCAATGTATGTAGTATGTATACAAAGTTGAGGCAGGTTAAGAAACTGAAAAAGAAACAATTACAATTGTCAATGGCAACTTACATTTTTGTTTAAAACATAGTTGGAATGAAAACCAAAAACAACCAGAGAAACAAAGGATACAAACAAGTGATAAGAAATATTAAAATAGGTTATAAGGAATAAATACAACTGATTCAACTCACATTAAAAAAACACATGTTAACTAGTTTACTTTACACTTTAAATAAGCCATTCCAGCTCTGTTAGTAATAAACAACGGTATAACCCACGCTCATCGACTCCAATATGGGAAAGAAATAGATGCAGATTCCTTTCCCTTGACCTCTGACCTTTTGAATCATACAACAGGGCTCTGGGAAAGTAAAAGAACATGAAATCGGTACGTCTCCTCTGCGGCTGCATACGACAGACAAAGACACGCCAAACAGCGCGGCATGGAGAGCTAAATACACCATTCAGGGCGACGAGGGAGCGCACTTCAAAATAGAAACAGACCCAGACACCAACGATGGGATCCTGACGGTTGTAAAAGTATGAGCTGCTCAGCTGCATAATTTACATTACAGTGACACCCATCTGTAGTCTGGTGTGTAATTAGGTGTAATGTGTATAATTACTGTACCTTTACGTCAGCCATGTTTGTCCTTGTGTGTCTGTATGTATTGTATGATTCAGCCGTTAGACTTTGAGGAGGAGGCCCTGAGGGAGTTGACCATCTCAGTGGAAAATGAGGCGCCATATTTCTCCTGTAAAGTGAAGGAGAGGCCGCCATCAGGCCTCTGGAAAGTTGAAACCAGTAAAGGTGACGTTCCTCCGCCGGACACTGTAAAAGTTAGCATTGAAGTGGAGGATGTCAACGACCCCCCGGTGTTTAGTGTGAGTGTGAAAGAGGTCGTGTTGGAGGAAAACGCACCCATCGGGACGTGGGTGGAGAAAGTGACCGCCGTGGATCCTGACTCTAGTCACGCAAGAGATTTTGTGTAAGTGGGAAGTTCAATCCAACATGTTTTAGCTTATCTGGGAGCTCTTTCACTAAAGCAAGTGGTATTTGTCCACAGGTACAAGGTAGGAAGCGATCCTGCTGGCTGGGTGACGGTGGATCCTCAAACAGGAGACATCACAACAGTCGGGACACCAGATAGAGAATCTCCTCATGTCAGCGACGGCCTCTACACCATCTTACTGCATGCTGTGGATGATGGTAACTGGCACTGACACAAACCAGATTTAAAATTGTATGAAGAAATATACATTTCATTTAAATCCTCACTGCTTTGTGACACTATCTATGTCTCTGTGGCTGGCTTTAGTGACCCCTGACTTTTCCTCCTGTGCCACCAAATGGTCAAAGTTTTCACTCAATCTGTGAAATATCTCAATGGATTTTGAACACAATTTGGTACTGACCTTTATGTTTCCCAGATTATTAACCCTCGAGACTTTGGTTATCATATGAGGTACACATTTGTAATTCTTCATGAAATTTGACACACATTCAAGCCTCACCTCAGGATAACTCTAGCACCACCATCAGGTCATCAATTCTATTTGTCCAATATGTTAGTTTTCTGCCCAAATACCAGCTATACCCAACCTTTGTTATTCCTTGTTGTGTTTATGAAAGTGAGCAAGCATACACCCTACTTCTGGGATGTGGTTAAATAGTCAAGATTCTTATGTATTTTTTTCTCCCTTGACCTTAATGGCAGACGTCATTAGGTCAAGTGAAGGCGTGGAGTAAAATCCAAATGAACGTTCACAAGGCTATGAATTATGCAACAGCAGATGTGATTGTCAAGGCATGGAATTATGGGACGACATTATCTTTTTCATTTCTGTAAAGGACGGTCGAGAGTACCCTATGTTTGAGGAGATAAGAAAAAGGAAAGAATTATACCTTTCTTCAGCATTAGAGAATTAGACCAGGTCATTGCTTAGATGCTTCATGGTCATGTCACAGTAACCTTCCAAAGAAAAAATTGCTTTTTTCGATCAGAGGCTCAGGAATCTGTAATCAAAGTAGTTCAATGTTATTCAGACATGATTCATTTCATTATTTGCACCCATGCTTTCCGTACTGGCTAACTCAAAATCATCTTCAGTGAAAAAGGTCTATTAGCAAATGTTTTCATGCTAACCTGCAAATCTAAGACAGTGAAAATGGTTTGATCATTATACCTGCTGAGCATAAACATGTCTGCAACATCAGTGTGTGTGTTAGCATGCATGATGATAGTATTCAGCTGGAAGTACAGCCTTAAAGTGTTGCTAACATAACTGCATTATGTTTCTATGTTGGATAGGAGTGCCATCCATGACAGGCACAGCCACTTTGAACATCCATGTGACTGACCAGAACGACAACGTGCCTCAGCCAACAGTGGGCTTTGTGGATGTGTGTGTGTCCGACGGCCCCTCCACCACCAACATCTCAGCCTTTGACCTGGATGATCATCCCTACGCGGGGCCTTTCACATTTGAACTGCTGGGTGACGTCAAAGGAAAATGGAAGCTGAATCCCTCACATGGTAGAACTAGTTATATGTGGTAAAATATGTAAAATATAAAAACAAATATTTAATTGTGTGTGATTATTTCTCACAGGGTACACAGCCGGCCTGGTGAAGGAGCCTGGTGTTTATTCCGGACCACACACAGTTGATGTGAAGATCTCTGACATGCAGGGACAGTTTGCCGTGTACAACCTCAGTGTGACCGTGTGTGACTGTAGTGTGACGCCAAACTGCAGAGACCCCCGAAGCACTGCCACAACAGCTGCTCCCGGGGCTCTGGCCATAGTGTTTGCCTCACTACTTTTGATCATGTGTAAGAAACCAAATTCCTTTAGTTTGCATCGCTGTAAAATGTATTGTTACATTTCTGAATATAGGTTGAATCTTGTCGTCTCTGTCTCGCTGACAGGTCTGCTTCTGATGGCAGTGTTCATGACCTGCAGAAAAGAGTTCGCCCCTCTGCAGCCCAGTGATTCCTCTGGAGACACCCTCCTGCCATCAAACATTGAGAATCCAGGAACAGACTGCAAGGTCCGTACTGAAAAAAACATGCAGTTAAAACAAGTGATTTTGATCAAAATGTTTTGCTAATATCAATATGTTTACCCTCTTTCAAGGTAGTCGTACCGGACGATATAGCGGTATGGTTTACTGAGGAGACCCACAGTGACCCATCTAATTGGGGAGGTCAGCATCATGGGATAAAACACAGCAATTTTTCCAAGGTGAAGAAACATGTTCTTATGTGTGATCTGCAGGTTTGTAGAGGGATTGACAAAGTTGCTTTTTTTACAGGTTCTCATACATACATGGAAACATGGCTTGTAAGATTAACCCTTCTCTTTGAAAATGTGGACGTATTGTAACTTAGTTAAGCTCTGCATCACAGTTGTTCCCATCATTTACATCAACAGGAAATGGAGCAAAACTTCATCTACGAATACTTAAGTGATTTCATGAGAGAAGATATGTCCCATCTATACAACGAGAACTGGAACCAGGTGATATGCACCCATTTAAAGATAATTATAATCCGGGCATTCAAATATTAATTCCATCTCCGTTCTCAGACAACTTGGAGATCTCTAATGGCCAATGGCCACCATCACACTCATCAGGTAATACAGTTTGGTTTGTGCTCATTGTTACTTTAAGGCAGCAGCTGAAGAAACTTGATATTTATGAACCTTTTCGTACAGCGTGAGCAAACTAGCACAATGAACTTCCATGCAGCTCTCCAAGCCCTGCTTCATCAGGTAGGCAGTGCACTTTCAGAATCATGTCTACTTTGCAGCAAAAAAGGTGCCAAACATTATATTTAATTAAATGTTTTCACTCCTTTAGCGGCTCTCCTCTCTCCAGGGGAAAGAGGGTGACCTGCTGGACTATGAGCCTCACCTTTATGCAGAGGAGGGCAACTTTGACGTTCCCTCAGAGCTGGAGAACATCATCCTTCCTGACAAGGATTCATACCAGAAAGCACTCAACAACTTGGGCCCCAAGTTCAAGCAACTGGCCTCCATTTGCAAGCCACCACATATACAAAACTGAGCTTTTATGTTTTATATTTTTGTTGAGGGGTGAAATAAAAAAAAAGGTACATTTTGTTACTGGATGCTTTTGCCAATTCACATCAGAGAGGAAATCCATTCTGTTAATCATATGTTATTTATTAGCAACTGTTACAAAGTCCTCCACAGTTTTCTTTTTACAAGTAGGGATGAAAATAAAGTACAGCTGTTCTCCAAAAATACATTTGGAGTTACATTTGGTCAGTCAAGTAGACAGAAATCAAAAACCAAATTATTTGCCTGCTGGCCTGCTGAAAAGACAATTCCACATTGCATTTTACCAGACTACCTAACAATTAATACATTTGCTTCTAGCATGTAGCTGCTGTGTAAAAATAAATTGCTCCCATTTCATATAATAAAACTTTAAATTACAAAATTCCCTGAATGCTCATTTGGGATTAAGAAAATAAATCTTAGTTTCAAATAGAGGAAAAAGGGAGGTACTTTTTAAATAAGTAGAAAACTACAATATTTACAGAAAATGTTAACAAAAAGAAAAACTAAATGCATTTACACCCTCCCACTGCCAATTTTTGGGAGGGGTCTCTGCTCAGGGGTGCTCTGCCCTCTGCGTCCTCGGCCTCTGAATCCTCTGCCTCTCAGTAAGCGGCCTGGAACTCCAAATGTTTCCATGTTCATTTTCTTCTCCTCCGCCCAGGTGGTTCTCCTGAAAATCCACAAAGAAAATATATATTGTTGAGCATGCCAAACGCCTCAGGTAAAAAAACAGCAGAAGTTAGATAATCACCTGGGCTTAAGGTCTGAAGAGATGTTGTCAAAGAAGCATTTGGCTTTGTCGTAGTACTTTTCTACGACAGTGTCCTCTTCCTGCTGCACAACCAGGTTATCCTCGGCATTCACAGAATACACTGCAGAAATGAAACAAAATGCAAATTACACACAGAAATATTTGACATGTGCACTGAAAGTAATTTGACTTGTATCATTTGAAATAACCTTACCCACAACATCCTTCGTGAGATCATCTTTAAACTGAGCATTTGCAGTTTCAAAATCAAAATCAGAATCAAACTGCAAGGTGGTGGCCTTCGAGTTTTTCACCAGAAGTTGGCCTCTGCTTCGGTTCCTAGACCTCCGGTTGCCTGCACACAAGCAACAGATAGTTCAACAGACAGGAGAGCATAATCTTTTGACATTCGTCTTGTTGTTCTTCCATTCTATGATCATTCTTTATAACTCAAAACAGTTGAAACAAAATAAAGATTGCCATTAGGCCAGACATAATAGTGTGTGCATTTCACATTTTGATACCTTGTTTTTGCCTTTGTTTCTGGTTCTCAGCGACTTGGTCTTCAACCTTGGCTGCACTTGGCTGAGATGGTGTCTGACCTAAGGATGTAAAAATGTAATGTTTGGGACTTTTTCTTTAAAATGGAAGTAATGCAAAAATAAAAACAGATTATTTATTTCTCAAGTGGTTGCTTACTGGTGGGTACGTTCTCCTTCTGAACCTGGGCAGAGCGCAGTGTTGGTCGAACAGGCTGTTTGCCCTGTGGCTGGGTAGAAGCCTTTCCCTTTTTCTGGGCCGCCCCAGCCAAAGGCACGGTCTGAACAGCCTGCTCCACCATGGGAGCTCTTCTGGCTGGGATGCCATGGTGTCCTGGTACATAAAGGAGCAGGAACAAACATGGTGGGGCTTGATCAACTGCTGATACATGAGAAACAGCCCCTATGATTGCATAAAGCTCTAACAAATGTCTAAAATATTTTAAAAATCTAGTGTACCTAGGCCTAGTGCTGCACTGTACTGCTGGTTCAGTAGAGACGTAGCAGCCAGCTGGTTGTAGGTGGGCATCATGTCTCTGTATGAACTCCACCGGGGATGATACGCAGCCAAAGAACTGCCCATGGATGACTACAAAAATAATGATGTACAGACAAAAGTACAACTTTTTCAACTTGCATTATAAATGAATCTACTCATTTGAAATAGCTTTTCTCAGAGCCACTCACCTGTACAATAGCAGGGTCCCGAGGCAGTACATGGTGTTGTTTTGGAGGCTCGGACACGGTGATATCTTTAATGTCACTTCCTCTGAAGATTATGTATTCATACATTTCATCTTTGGGTGGCACTGGTCTATCTGCGCGCCGGTCCTCTGTCCCATAGGATCTAACTGTTCGGATATAAAGTTGGACAAAAGTTTGGTTTACCTCCAATATAATGTCAAGTCTACAAACATGAACAAAGTCATTATGCATTAAGTTGTGCAGAGATAATTGTCGATGACTAAAACCACATGTCGTTTAGGCCTCTGCACTTACCTTTGGCTAGCGCAACCGTGGACCGATCAGTGTCGACAGACGACAATATCCCCTCATACCGTATCTGCGCTTTGGATATCAAACTTATTTTACTGCCAATATATGGGGTCCCTCCTCCGGAGCTCATCTTTGCAGCAAAAATGTGTTAAGTGAAAAGCAGCCTCTCAATCACAGAGCATTAAACCACGACACGCATCAGACAAGATCTAATCAGCTGTGTCCGCAATTAGCAGGCACCTGTGCGCTTTATAAGATTGCCAGTGACGCACGCACCTCTTTGCTGATGGCCCATGCACCTGTGCGTAAAAAGGGGTTCGTTTCTTTAGCCACACGGCGTACACCACAATAAGTAATCAATACGTAAGTGTGAAGCGAGTCTGCGGAGTTTGCAGCCTTAGAAAAACTGCACACGCTATTGGCATGACAAGCACAAAGGCATAAACAATTACACTAATGTGAATGTATATTACCACATTGAAGACACAACTAGCAATTTGTTTAAGGTTTACATGTGTACCATGTGACTTGCACATATCAATATGTTTGGCGTAAATGTTATCCATTGTTAAAAGAGAACATTTAAAATAAACCGATTCATTATTATAAATCTATTTTATTATTATTATTATTATTATTGTTATTACATTTATTTATTTGTGCACTGCTCAAGATCATTATAGAATAGCCCGATTACATGTTAGAAATTAAACTGAAAAATAAATTGAAACAGTGTAACATTTGAAAAAAGGATATTTAAACTTGAGCTATTCTATTTCCTGTTAAGTACCATAGTTTAATAAATATCCCGTTCTTTACATTTCCATAGTATTTGTCATATAGGCTATCAAATGTCATTGCCCTTTGGGTTATGTTTCACATTTGCATTATTATCTGGAAAAGTAGCCAACACAGTTTATTTGCCATTAAAGTGTATTTGCCATGCAAAATTCCTCACAGCTGTGACTAAAACTGATATGTAAACTGTATAGCCCACCAGAAAAGGACTTTATAGTAAGGTTGTCATTTAGAACTGCAACATGTCTAGTCTAACATATTTTATAAATTACATTGGGATTCACATTTTAACGCGTAAATGAAAGAAAGAAAAACACACTTTATTTGCATTGCATCTATACGTCAGCGTAAGTCCCATGACTGCTGACAGCACTGTACAATAGGCTATTTCCTCTCTTGGAGGAGGGTGGGGCGCCCTCAAACGCCTCTTTACAACAGCTACTTCACTTGTTGGCCAACACACTGCAGCCATCTTGCTCAGCGCATCAAGAGTGAGTAAACTCTAAAATTAGGTGTGTTGGCTTGTCGTAAACCCCGATATCCTTCTCCCAATAGTCACACGGTGCAATTCTGAAACAGAATAGCTATCGTGAAGGCAGAAAGACGCTGGCGGCAATGTAACATTTGATGAAAACATTTTCGTCTCCGGTACGATGTTGTTCCGTCTCATGCATCCCCTGGAATGACAGCTGAAGCCATTGGTACCGCCTTTTAGAATGCCGAACAGCCAATCACAGCTCTCGAAAATCCCCGCACGGAGACGTTTAGTCGTTGTGCGCAGGCGCATGTCACTCGGTAAGCCCCTCACTTCTCACAAGCTCACAGGAGTGTGAAGATGGCGGTGGGGTCTGGCATGCTAGACGAGCCTTTTTCACACACAGAGGTGAATAAAGCGGTAGTTTGTCATCCCGAACAGTCTGTAGAGTCACACCTGTCGTTCTTGTGTCACAACAACCACTGTGGTAGGCACGAAGCAGCCGGTAATAACATGGCGAGCTAATGTCCAGCTGGGACTTGGTCAAGACGATTGCCAAAGCAGGTACGCTGTAAACTACTAATGTTGTTTTCCTCTTTGTCTCTCCGAGTATACACGAAAAGCAAGCGAAGGAGCTGACTGATAAAAACAGTACATGTGAAAGAGTCTTGCCCCATCACATTCAAGAGTGTTTGTGCTGCTTTCTAAACAAGTTGGAGTGCAGGGGGGTCTCATCATATAACGAGCTCTCCATGGTTCAACTATGGATGCACTGACGCACAGCACAGACTCCAGCTCGGGACACGAACCTGGCAAAAAACTTGTTGTTAGTGACGGAGTAACTTCTCTCCTCAATCACCAGGGGAAAGTAGTGCATACTTTCAATGGGAGCCAAACTATGGACTCTCACAATTCAGGAAGCGGGGGGGCGACAGCGACAAGTGGCACTACTAACAACAACAGCAATGCGATATCTGTCACTGCTATCAACAGTGGACCGGGGGTGTCGAAAGGGCTGCTCGGTGCTGCTACAATGCACCCCTCGTCCAACAGTGTCATTCAGACGCCGCTCATGAACTCCCAGACTGCTTTGAGCCCGGCAACAACAGGAGCCACTGTGACCCTCGTCAGGCCGCCTATGCAAACCACGGGGTCGGGAGCAACTTTGAATGGGAACAATAATGCGAGCCATGCTGCTGTGGTTGCCAATGCATTTGGTCACACAGGTACCATCGGGTCACACAGCCCGCTTGTAAACAATGCGTCCAGCGCAGGCTCGCACATAATCAAGGCAGAGCCCCCCACCACAATAATACAGACAGCCCCACCGCCGGCTGTCACTCCGGGGGTCGTCAGCTCTCCCCGGTTCCCCACGACAGGAGCTCCCGGTCCAGGCCTGATCCGAGCCTTCACGCCTCAGATGTTGGCCCCCAGGCTCCAGCAGACCTCCCCGGGACAGCCCAGCGTTCATAACATCCAGCTACCCCCGGGTGAGTGAAATCAGAACTTTTTTACTGTATGTGCACAGGCATTTATTTACTCCAAACTATTGTTTTCATTTGATGGCACCCAGAGGATTGTTGACATCCACCTGGATACATCTTAATCTTCTAATACATAGACATATTGATTTGTTTCTAGAATTTGGGCTATCTATGTTGTAAATGGTGTATCTTTTTCATTTACACACAACTTCTATTACACGTCTGTCCGTCCTTGGAAAGGGACCCCTCCTCTGTTGCTCTCCCTGAGGTTTCTTTCATGTTTCCCCATTAACTGTGGGTTTTTACTTGTGAGGGTCTAAAGACACATCGTGTCGTGTTCATATTCTGTATAAAATGTAAAGACCCCTGAGACAAATGTAACATTCCTGATATTGGGCCATATAAATACACTATGATGAATTTGCCTCTGTTTAATTACCTTAAAATTAGACATGGAATGATTGTATATTGGTTAACCAACATCCAATACAGAAATCATACTATATAAAGTAGGTTATGTGTCTGCACCAGATTCCTTAAATAACACTTAACTGTTATGATTTATGGTTCAGGGATGGTGCTCGTACGCAGCGAGAGCGGACAGCTGCTGATGATTCCTCAGCAGGCTCTCGCCCAGATGCAGGCCCAGGCTCAGGGAGGCATGGCACCGCGGACCGCCACACCAACAAGTGTACCTCCTGTCCAGGTAGGATCATCACACAGTCTAAGAAGAAGCATTATATATGACTTACCTCATGTGCAGGCCAGTACTTCAAAGAACATGTTCAGCTTCAGTGTAAGTACAAAATAGTTATGTTAGAGGTCATGTGTTGGTATTTGGAAACTTGTGAGCTGGTGGACTGTCGGGGGATGACCACCCTACTTGGTGCCACAATGGGGGGAAAAACCCAGCTTAATGCCCATTATAGATAAAATATGATAAAGTCCCCTGCTTACATGGAAAACACCTTTTTGCAGTTTCCTCAACGGTAGCCCTACCAGTAGAGAAAATCGTGATAAAGTTCCCTCATGTGACCCTAAGATTGAGAAGACATGAAGCATTGCAGTACAGGCTAAAACACTCTTCTTTTCTTTCCACCATTCTGTTGTAAAATACATAGCTTTATGTATTTAGATGTAATAAAAGTAATTTTCAGGTTTGATTAAACTGAGTGTTTCACATCTTGCTTTATGCCTTGTCTCAGGCTCCTGGAAACACCATCATCAGCAGACAAGTGGCTCCCAGCACCATCATCCGCCAGGGGGGTCCGACCCCAACACCCCTCACTGCGACCACCACTCTTCACAGACCCCCTGTCCTTCAGGTAACCCCGTGTGTTGCTGTCAAATAAGTTGTTATTATTTTCATTTGGCTTGTTGCACAGTGTTATGTGTGCATTACTTGCACGAGCTGCACACTTAATGTTGGCACTTAGTTCCTTATTACTGCTTGATTATTTTATTATAGATAATGATATTACCATTTTATGTGTAGATGTCACACTAGAAGGATCTTATGAGTGCATTTTTACTCAATGAAGAGGATGCAAACTCCTTCTGAAAGATGTGCCTTCTGCATAAATGGTTTCCTGCCTTGGGTTATTGGTAATCCTGAACCTTGTTTCCTGGATTTAATAAAGAGTTCAGACCTAAACGTCCAAAGAGTTTGTTACACGCACTGAAACATGTAAGTAGATTTGCAAATCAACAAATAAATCAATCACAAAATGATAAAATCATACAAATCATAATACTGGAGTGCTGACAGTTTTTCCTAATGTTTCAAACCAACACACTGAGGTCATTTTTTGAGAAAAAGTGCACCTTACTGAAATGCTGTTCAGGAAAACAGCACCTGTTTCCTCTGATGGACCTGACGTTTGATGCATGGTTCAACTTTGAAGCAACTCTAAAACCAACACTCATCTGTGATGAATTGAAACTGGGGGTTTAAAATGTTTGAACATCCTAAATAACATGTGACGATTTTGATGTCTGTTTTCCCAGAGTTCAGTTGGGGCTGCAGTAACAGGAATGACCCCCAGGACCGCCAGCCCGTCAGCTGGGAGCCAACTTCCCCCGATATCAGTGAGCAAAGTGAGTTGTGCGATCAGAGAGAGCTGGATGTCAGTGTGTACTCTAAACAACTACAGATGTATAACAAAGGGTGAAGCATGCAGCTATGTATCACATTTTTAATCACAATTGAGACCTGATTTTGTTAATCACTTCTGTGTTTTTGGCAGGAGACAATGGAGAATGTGAAGAAATGTAAGAACTTCCTGTCCACACTGATCAAGCTGGCCTCCACTGGGAAGCAGTCCACAGAGACTGCAGCGAATGTGAGAGAGCTGGTCAAAGAGTTATTGGTGAGTGAGCCACATACACAGGACACACACATCTACCTGTCAACTGCTATAATGTGTCTCACGTTTGAGGTTATTGACACAAGTAGATAAATATAATTGTTTCATATTTTGTTGAGCTGTGCTCCCTTTTTACAAAATGACAGAAATCTATCATTTTGTGAGCCTGTGAGTTTCAAGCCACATTTCCATGTTACATATTTTACATTGTTTTATGTCTTTTTAGATAGCACTGTTGAGGAACCTGCGATCTAAGTTTTTCATAATTACACTGTAGTTTTATATATATGTTATGAGAATAAAACTTTGAATCTTGAAAACCTAAACCACAGCTAAACCAGAGAAACACTTAGACAAAAAAAACAAAAACTTGAAGCTTTATTTAGTGTTTTCACCTGTTTAATTACTGAAGATTAGGAGACCTCTGAGGATAATTCTGCTCCCGCTAAAAAACAGTACAATAAACATGAAAGGAATCCTAACCAGGAGAAACTGACTGCAACGATGGAGAAGACAACAAATCACACACTACTTTAAAACGTCACAAAACGTCTTCTTTATTGTTTCATAGAAAGCCTCCCATTGACAGAAAGTTACGTATTGTCAATCAACAAGCTACAAGGCCAGCTGTGATTTAACAGTGTTGTCAAAGACAAGCATCAGCTGTCCCTGCAGATGTGACCGCTCTCACTCACTTTTTATTTCATCCTAGGAGGGCAGACTGGAGGCTGAGGAATTCACCAGCAGATTGTACAAAGAGCTCAACTCCTCCCCCCAACCCTACCTTGTGCCTTTCCTCAAGGTAAGAAAGCTTATTTTCTAAATTCATTTTCACTGACATCCCTTCCAGTAATGTGTATGTTCTTGGTCCACAGGAGACTTTGATAAAACACGTCATCTTTATGTGTGCTCTGTGTTTCTGCAGAGAAGCCTCCCAGCCTTGAGGCAACTCACCCCAGACTCAGCAGCCTTCATCCGGCTGAGTCAGCTCCCGGTGCCAGCCTGTAGTACGGTCCCCTCCACCGCCCCCGTCCCCACCTCGGTGGTCCTGGGCAGCCCTTCTCCCCGCCTCATGACCCCCGTCAGCAGGCCCCAGCTCCAGACAGGCATCAGCAAACCAGGACCTGCCCCCTCACTGGTAAACTAACTAATACATGAGTCAGATGGCAGCTCGACTCCAATCTGCAAAGTTTATATCAAATGAGGCATCTCAAATATTTTCAACACTAAGTAATCATGAAACTATGGTAAAATAATTACATAATCAGCATGTGGACCTTTTACCCTTGCAGGTTATCCAGCCTCAGCAGCAGAGAACAATGTTAAGACCTCAGGTAGCCTTACCGACGCCCACCATGGTGGCCCACAGGAACCAGGCCCCCGGCCGCATCATGCTGGGCCAGCAGCACGTCCAGCTGCAGCCAGGTGAGGACCTCAAGGTCAACACAAAGTCATGATATGTGCAGTGGACAAATAAAACCAGCTTCTTTTTTCAAATGATCCCAATGAGAACAGAGCGCATGCCATCGAAAGCGGCCTCCTCTAGACAAAGTGCAGCGCCCTGCGTCTTTTCTCCCAGCGCTGAGCCTTTTTCTGTTGACCGCTGTAACGCTTCAAGTATTTCAACTTTCCAGAAAAGCGCTGGTCGTCACTGTAGAAAGGACATGAAAAGCTTGTTTATGGCCGAATCTGTCAGACACAAACCATCACAACAAAGACCAAAAGTCCTGTTTGTTGGTGCAGATTTGTCGGCTGGACACCGGATGTTGCTGACATTAAATGTGTGACTTTTATCGTCCCCCTCCCTCACTATATGGCTGTCAGACTTAGCGGTGACAAGCTCATACATATACATTTGACTTCCTGCCAGGAAAATGCACTTTGTGGACATAGGCCCTAAAACATCTAACATACATATAAACCACCTAATGGAAAGCTAAGGATAACACAATGTGGTAAAAGCTCATAACACATTTGTCTGTGCATGTGTGTGCTGCTCCTTGGGTGACTCGTCCTATTTATTGTAATTATGTGTCTTTTCTAGTTCCTGTGAAGACGGAGGGTTCACCTTTTCCGAGGCAAGTCTCTGCTGCAGCGCTGACCCTCGCTCAGAGGAACAAGCTGAGAGAGGCGGGGGGCTTGTTCAAGTAAGAAGAGAAAAGCTGATTTCAAATCAACCCTACTGTACATGTAGTTTAATCAAACAAGTTCTCGTATTAGCATCACTCGAAGGTGATCAAAATACCGCGGGGAACCTTTTTTAACTAAGTCAGCAAAGGCAAGGCACGTTTATTTATATAGCATCTTTCAACACAAGGCAATTCAAAGTGCTTTACCAAATACCAAAAAACATTTAGGGTAGTAAGATAAAGTGCAGTGGAAAAACAATTATATTTGAAAACAGTTATTAAAAAGCAAAGAGTAAAAGTACAACTAGCTAAAATAGAATTAGACAGGTAGAAAAAACAGGTACAAATAAATAAATGTAGAAATTAAAGGTGGGGTAGGTAAGTTTGAGAAACCGGCTCGAGATACACTTTTTGTTATATTCCATGGAATGCTCTTAACATCCCGATAGCAATGAATATCTGAAGTGCTTTGACAACAAATCCATAACAAAATATCATCTGTGGAAGCCGTAATACTGTAAAAAGCACGACCAATCATTTTAGCCGGCCCGGCTAAAACAACTGGATGGCCTACCTGCCTGTCAGCCTTCATCTGTGCACAAACTTATCTCGTGCCCTCATTGGTCATGTGCGCGTTCGTGTGTGTTGGAGGAGGGGCTCTATAAGGAAGTGGCAGATTTTCTCCGGTTGTGTATTTTGAAATTCTAGCGATCTCGAGCCGGTTTCTCAAACGTACCTACCCTACCTTTAAAGCTATTTTAATCTCATTGTCAGCATACCTTGTATAGCTACAGGTTATGTAGAGGAAACACATATTGTGATTCTTGAAACGCCTCCATTTGTTTACAGGGATGATGACGACATAAACGATGTGGCCTCCATGGCTGGAGTGAACCTCTCGGAGGAAAGCGCTAACATCCTAGCTACCAATTCTGGACTAGTGGGAGCGGTGACGCGGTCCTGTAAGGACGAGGCGTTCCTCTCCTGCGCCCTCCTGCAGAGGAGGATGATGGAGATCGGTGAGACTCTTACAACATGAGCGACGATACAGCTCCTCTCCATCCAGACCCTAAAGCCCCGGATGTCTCCGTTTGTTTTCCAGGCAGGAAGTACGGTGTGACCGACCTGGGGGCCGACGTGGTGACCTTCGTCTCCCACGCTACGCAGCAGAGGCTACAGACCCTGCTGGAGAAAGTTTCCCAAGTAGCCCAGCAGAAGAGCTACCCCATAAAGGTTTGTTTACAGCATTATCCAAGAGACTTATAGAAGTTTAAATTCACCTTTCCCCATGGTTTTGCAGTAAACACATATTGCTGGTGCGAGGATCAAGGAATGACATTTGTACCTGCCACCTAAAATGTATTTTAAACCGAAGGTATGAATAGTCAGGGATTAAGGTTACAAGACATACATCATATTTGCAAATGATGTCTTTATTAAACAAGGACCATGCTTGTATTTTAAATACATTTCAGAAGTGGCAGACACATTATTTGAGTTGCCAGTGACCTGCCACAGTGTTAGCTGATTATAACACATCATTTCAAACCCTGTCTATGACATTCAAAGCTCATGTGTATTTACTTTGCTCCTTTTAGCATGCAAACCACAGATACCTCGTATACCTTTTTGGGGTCCACATATATGCCATAATGTCTCCTGTAATCTTTAAGGCTGTTCTGGGCCAAAGTATAACATTGTAACTTGTCCGTGTGTCGGCAGGAGGACGACAGTTATGAGCAGAGCAGCGATGTTCGTGCTCAGCTCAAGTTCTTTGAGCAGCTGGACCAGCAGGAGAAACAGAGGAAGGAGGAGCAGGAGAGGGAGATCCTCCTGAAGGCAGCTAAGGTACAGTGACCACTCCACTGACACACATTTACACTCAATGGTAGTCAAAGGTAATGGTGTCTCTTTGTGTCAACTAGTTAGGGGATTATCTGTGGATTCAGAAACCTTGTGTCTGAATAGAGTGTGCATAAATACCCTTAGAAAATGAACTGATAGGATTTTATTCATTTACTTTCTGTAATGTATACATGAATAAATAAAATATTCGAGATTTGATCTAATGCAAAATTCACAATGCACTTTGTGGCAATGACTCTTACATTCAGCAGGCAGTCCATTGAACATACTCTGGGTTCAAACAGACTGACTGCAGTTTTAAGCATCATGTTTTATTATTTCAAGGCCTTTGTGACTTTTTTAGATTTTGACCACTTTATGAATAATAGCAGATGTGTTATAATTAAGCAATAGCTCACGACAGGCCGTGGTATATGCTCATTATATCACAGCTAAGGGGCGTGGTTCGGCCCGACGCGAAGCGGGTGGTCAACAACCCCCTTAGCGGTCTGAGGTATCTGCTGCATGCAGTTTGCTTTTCAGCCCAACTGTATACAGTTAAATCGACCGGACTTCTTTCTACAGATGTGAGCGTCCTTAACAACGGTCAATAAGTCCTTGTTGCACATTATCCCTTACATGTTTCCATCTTAAGCTTTGTTAGTTAGTTAGTTTCGTAACGGACGTAATGTAACAGTTGTAACGGTTGTAGCTTTTCTCAGACGCGGAGGGATACTGACTTGTTGTGAAAAGTAACTACAATTCTACCCGTGATATACGCTCATTATATCACGGCTAAGAACCAATCAGATTGCTTGATTTGACTTGTCCGTTTTATAAATGCTGTTATATTTTGTGTCTATTGAATGTGTTGGTTTCTCAAAGATATTCACTTCGCCAGAGGAACATTAATATTCTTTAGAGTTTTACTAAAGGTCGGCCCTGATTGATTTCAACTCTGTTCTGTTGGAACATTTTCGAACAAATGTACTGTTTGATATATTAAATGGCACTGGTGACACATTTACAGCACCAAATTAAATGCTACTAGGTACGTGACTTTAGGAATAAATAATATTTAACACATTTAAATATAGTTATTGATGGATATGTGAATTTTCTAGAAACTTGAACTCACAAGTAATTGATGTAGATTCTGCAATACGAGAAAGTATTTCATTGAGTTCTAGCTAATGGGCAAACACCTGCCATTTCCCCCTCATCTCTGACCCTGTTTGACCTGGGATTTGGCCTTTCTGCCCAACAGTAATCAATTCTGTCTTTCTTTGGCCTTTCAGTCTCGAGCTCGGCAAGAGGACCCAGAGCAGCTGCTTCTGAAACAGAAGGCAAAAGAGGTAGGATGAGAGGACGAGGAATAAGTGTCTGTTGTATGTTTTCGCACTGTATGCTTGATATCCGTGTTGCTGTCTGTGTTTTCCAGATGCAGCAGCAGGAGCTGGCTCAGGTGAGGCAGAGGGAGGCCAACCTGACGGCTCTCGCTGCCATCGGACCGAGGAAGAAGAGGAAGCTCCTGGACTCTCAGTCCTCCTCCGCTGCAGCCGAGGTAACGCTACGTACCATACAGATGGGCTCACAGCTGATCATAGATCCTGTCATGGAGTCACCTTATACCTTTGGCATCTTCCTTAACAACCTTTGTCATCCTCACCCGACAACAGTGTTAGTTTTATCGGCTATTTCATATATTCATCTTACTCTTGCTCTTTAGATTTATTAACATATTTCACATTTGAGTCATTTTATCCTTCATAGTTTCAGTTATAACAAATTAAAATGGTTTAGTCAACAAAGTCATTACCCTTTAGTGCTGAATCAAATGTCCTGTTTGAGTTATCAGATTTAATTAAGTTTCCGTCATTTATTCTAGCCGAATAAAAACAAGTTGTCATTTTATTCAAACTTATTTCGGATCATTTGTTATTATTTTATAATGAGAAACGCAGGTTGAATGACTTTGAATTTGGCTTTGCTCCTGACTAGTGAGTAATATAGTGCACGCAGTGGTTAGTCGTACACACCTGGCCCATTGAAAGAGTCAACGGCCACTAATTTACAAAAATATGATGAATAAAATAATCCTGACCCAAATTATAAACTATGTTTTAGTATTTTTCCGTCAAAGATATTGCATGTTGATATCGTCACAGTTAGTGTTTGATAACGTCGTCCGCTCATCGTCATAGTCTTGGGGAAAAGGTCTTGGTGAACATATTTCTTCATACTCATTGTTAACAGAATCAACGCTGCGCTGCAGAGAACCTCTCTTTATGATACTTAATTAGTATAAACTGGAGACTGATTGGAGAGCAACGTATGAGTCAAACTTTAAAAAAGACACCAGCTCTGTCGATGTAAAACACTGGTTCTAGAAACGGCTAATGTTAGCACTAACAGTCAGTTATCTACTCCGCCAGACAAAGTTTCTGACGAGCTGACACTGACTGAGACCTGTCAGTCATCTGTGCACCTCACATATCTCGGAAAATAAAATAATGAAGCCTCTTGTTGCTTCTGGCAGAGCATGTCAGTCGACTCTCCTTATCACACCAGTCACACTCATTTAGCACGATGACACGGTCCTCCTAACGTCACACACCTTACCTCTCGGAGAACAGCTGCTGCTCTGCCGCTCAGAGCCTCTGCTCATCACTGGTATTGATTCAGTTAATTGATTTCTCCTCTGACCTCAACCCTCTCTCTGTGCTAGATTTTAATAGCCATGGGGATAGTTGTTTTTGATATATATACGCTATATACTCCGTGCTTTGGGTTCTGCTCTGATTAGTGGGGGGGGGGGGTTTCTCTCCACATTCAATTGTTTACTGTTGTTTTGAATCACTAGGGAGCATCAACAGAAGGAGAGCCTGTTCTGTGTAATAACCGTTTGCTGAAAGAAAATAGCCCGGTATTATTCAGGAAACATTATTTACCTACTTCGATAAAGGTTGCAGTAATTTAGAGTTTGTGTTTGTTCCTTTTTTATAATATATATTGGAAAAACAGATGTCGCAGAGTTTTGTATTCTGTCCAATTTGCTGTAGCATTGAATTGTTAGTGGGGAAGTTCCTAACAACAAACAACAGGGAATAACACTTTAACAAAACACTATTGTATGTGTCTGAGGGTTCATAGTGATTCACTGCATGTATCAGGAAAGAGGTTAGAAACCACTACTTCATCCAACATTTCCCTAACAGACTACACACACACACACACACACTCACACTCACACTCACACTCACACTCACACTCACACTCACACACACACACACACACACACACACTAGTTTGAATCTGAATAGTTCGTAGACACATATCGACAGACAGATACACACTCACACACACTCCCATTCATACCAAATGGCTCTCTATTTCAACAATTGTTCCCATAGTTTCTGCCAAACCTCTCTGCTGGTTTGCTAGTTTTATTGCACTCTATTGCAGTATGAAGTTGATATTTTATTAATCAAATAGTACGCTTGTATTTAGTTGAGTTCCTTCAAAATCTTTCTATAAACTGCCTTGGCACCTGCAGAAGTAGGGCTACCACCTGGGGTTCTAATAAATAGTAATATTAGTAATAACGGACTAGACTGCATTTCCTTGGACTTTAAGTGTAAAACAGGAGTGCACAGGGAAGACATGATGGTGCTTTAAACAGGGCACCTACTCGGACACCATGCTGCTCCTTGTGGCTCAACATATTTCATACAAAATATTGTGTTTCTGTAACTTTGAAAAGTGTAAAAGACAAGTCTGTGAAGGTGCATGCATGGCCAAACTCTTGAGATACATTTTTTTGTGGCAACTCATCGGGCTGTGAAAAAAAGACAAACATTACTGACCCCCCACCCTAAACCTGAACCTCTCCCCTCTCTCTCTCCTCCCCAGGGGTCCGGGTCAGGTCCCTCCCTCTCCGGCGGGGCGGGGTCTTCGGGCTCCAGGCCGACGCGGCAGCGAATCACACGCGTCAATCTCAGGGACCTGCTGTTCTGTTTGGAGAACGAGAGATTTTCCAGTCACTCCCATTTCCTCTACAAGGGCTTTCTCAAATAGACTGGATGTCAGAGGGGAGGGGAGGGAGCCGCTGGTGGAGAGATCAAACGCTCCCTCCACGCAGAGAGACTCTTTTTAAATGAGGAGGAGGAGGGCAGAGGTTTTCCAGATAAACCTGATAATCTGATGAACAGAAGCAGCCACGTTGGATGGCCTCTCTCTCCTCAAATAATGATCAGAGAAATGGACAAATGCTAATTACTGTTCAAGAAAGTGCAAAGATGGATGTGTGTTACAAGAGGGTTTATGAATGAACACTTTTCAATTATGCACAGAACAGTAACGTTTATAATCAGATGATTTGTGTTAGCAATGGACATCGACACATTTGTTTTTAATAGACAACTAATTTTTATTGAATATTGATTGTAGATTTCTCCTTTTTTCTTTTTAACTGAATTAGTTTGAACTCCGAACTGTGTAACCTACTGAGTTGCCTTCTTAACTATGAATAAGCCATATAGCCATCGCGAAGCAATTAACCCTGCTGTCACTCACGAAGCAGTAGTCATCTCCAGTAGGCTACTTGATTTTATTGTCAGCATATTTATTTACTAAACTCAAGCTTAAATTAATGTTTAGTTATTTATTTTAATTTCATGTGAAGCTTCAGTCGTTTCATGTAGTTTAAATGCAACGTGCATTTGCCTGCTTAGGATATGTTTAAAATCAACGTAGACATTGTAGTTTGGTGAATAGATTTTAGTGCGTGAAGAAGAGGTTTATTCTTCGTATTTTCATGTTTTAAATCGTTAATTTAAAATGTATTTGATTTCTAAATAGATGGCTTTTAAACCCTTATTATATACCAAACTTGCATCTACCTGAAAGCGATCTCTATTTTTGTAGCTGCCCACCAAGACACATTTGTACTCTTTCAATATTGACTGACGGTGTCCTCCGACTCAGCAAGGTGCAGTTTCCTCCTGTATATTTGTAAATGTTACACCTACAGTTTTACACATGGTTTTGTATAGAGTTGAGAATTTACCCACCCAGAATAAAGAAAAACACATTTTCTCTATTAAAATGTTTGAATAAATAATGATTTTACAGTAACTGGTTGAGGTTTGTTGTTTGTTGTACGCCACCAGGGGGCAGCATTGCATTAATATAACAGTGTGTGTGCTGCGTGAGGCACTGAGGCTTTGCACATGAATAACACCTTTAAGTCCTTCTCTCTCTACCTGTTCACAGATAATTCCTCCTAATCCTCTAACATCTGTAACACCACATGTAGTACACACGGTGTCCCCCGGGTGTTTACAGGCATCTATTAACCACAACTCCCACACTGCTAACACTGAACCTGGAATAACACACTCACACACAGTCTGCTACCAGTCTGTGCTCGTCCTCTCTGGGCTGTCTTGTTTCAGTCCGTCTCCATTATCAGCCCAACACACGCAGCATTAGCAACAGCTGCAACATCAGCTGCTAACAGGCACCACGACCACGGGCTGGAAACAATCAGGCCTGCGGGACGACTGCCTGATGATAGGGAGCAGCTTTGGTATCGGCATTAACCAAAGAGCAACAATAAGTGAATATTAGAGGGGTTGTGATGAGCTACAATTTCATTTTTTGTAATGAAAGTGCATCTGGGAGCCACTAGATGGCAATTTACCCCCATTACTAGATTATGTGTACTGAACAGCAGCTTGTTCTTTATGGTGAATATTACCTTGTTGCATTTGGGTGAGTTTACATGTGTCGCTCTGCTGGACACACACAATACAGACCAGTGGGCCAACCTGTCAGCCACCGTTTAACTGAACATTTGGCAGAAAGAGAAAACTGAGCATTGTGAGAAACATCCCAGCTCTGTGCTGCCGGGAGACAGCAGAGCACAGAGAGTCCTGACAGCAGAGGTGGAAAGTAACCAAGTACATTTACTCAAGTTCTTTACTTTAAGTAACATTTTGAGGTACTTGTACTTTACTTAAGTATTTCCATTTTATGTTACTTTGTACTTCTACCCCATTACAATTAAAGTACACAAGGTAAATTGTGTACTTTAACTCCACTACATTTATTTAATAACTTTAGTTGCAGTTATAGATTAATGATGAAAAAATATGATCAGTACTTAAATGAGACTTTAGTTAAACCTGGATACAATGTACATACTACCTAGCAGTAAATAAAGTAATTAAAATGAGTTGATATGATAAACACATCAGGACAAAGACCACCAGACTCCATAAGACTGCTATACTCCTGAGCTTGCACTATCTTTATTATTGTTATTAAATGTGTTTATGTCTTGTATATGTTTATATTGCATCGTTGAGGAACCTGTGCCCAAAGTTTTTCATTACAAAACTACACTGTACTGTATGTGACATTAAACCTTTGAAATCTGGAAATACATCAATAATTATAATCAAAACTAACGATATTATTCTGAAATGGGCCAATATGCATAATGTGTACTAGTTTTGGTACTTTAAGTATATTTTGATGCCAATACTTCTGCACTTTTACTTGAGTAACATTTTGAATGCAGGACTTGTAACAGAGTATTCCTACATTCTGGTACTTCTACTTTTATTTAAGTACACAATCTGGTACTTCTACTTTTACTTAAGTACCAGATCTGAGTACTTCTCTTTTTACTTAAGTACACCCTTTGATTACACCACCTCCTCCTCCTCCTCAGTTCCCCCTCTGTCAGCGGGGGGGGGGGTCTCAGGTAAAGGCCTCAACCCTTGTGCCTCGGCCCAATCCAATATTTTTGCTGGTAATCCTCCTTCCACTCCTCAACACTGCTGCTCTTTTAGAGTTAAGTCCACATAAGCTCCCACTTGAGTGCCAGAGGCAGAGCAACAACATGGATGGTGCGGTTGCCTAGCGACGCCTCAGTCACTGCACCTGAGGGTGTTGGGTAAACACCCCGAGCCCGCCGGAGGGAAGAGGAGAGGAGCAACATCACCGTGACATTTATTAAAGGGGGCTGTTATTAATTTGTTACATTCATTGTTGTCATTTTCCTTTCACCCCGGGGGGAGATTATATAACGCGCCATTAAAGCATTTTATGTGTGTGTGTGTGTGTGTGTGTAGGCATGCCTGTGAATGCTCCCTTTTTCTTATCTGTGATTTCTTCTGATTCCTAGATGGGATTCAACTGCTGTGATAGTGCTTCTCAGCAGGCTGTTTCTCTTGCACTTTTATGATAAATCTGCAGTCTGAAGTCCTCTACTTGTTTACGCTCACAGAGGGGATCACTTTTAATGATGGTTAGAGGCTGATGAAAGCTCCCCCTGCCCCCATTACTCACATGAATCAGATGGTTATGAAAATCTTTATTAAGGTAACACCCCGATGGCAAGATGAATAAGAAGTTTGTGATGTTTTTTTTTTTTTACATCCATTGACATTTCCTGGCAAACGAATGCATTCAAGATTCCATTTGTAATCCCACCGTACCCATGCTGTGAGACAAATGCAATACTTAAAGTCAGTTAATTAATTTTATCCTTTTCAACGCCTCCTTGCATATTGTTGATTAAGCTTGGAGCTTATGAATAAAACTGTCTCCTTGGAGGAACATGAGGGTGTGATTTGGATGAGCTGATGTGGCACACTGCGATCCAGTGGTGCACGTTATCGTCCATTAAGATGCTCCACTCCAGTAGCCTATAACCACTTTTATCCTGAAATGAAAGAGAATTATTTTCAACCCTTTCCCGAATAATAGGAATATAAGATGCAACAGCAGTTCATTAGTTTACACCTCCTTAGCCAGTCTGTTTCATGTGTGCCCTTGCTCCACACAGGTTAATGCTGACTTTAGGACTCTTTTGGTAAGGGGTCGTCTGGGGCGGTGTGATTTGGCCCGGGGATACTATAATAAGGCCAGTGTTTATGACTGCAGCCGAAATGGGTTGGTAAGCGCGGCTGAACCCTCCAGGTATTGATGCGGGGGTTAATAGCCTGTTGGCCTCTTTAATGGAGCTGAATCAGGTCAAGCAGCAAGCGTTGTCAGCCCACAGGATGAGAACATCTCCCTTTATAAAGTCATCTCCTATACGAGGGGGGGGGGGGCGGTGCACCAAAATGTGTAGAATACAAACTGTGGTTCACACAGAGAAATGTGTGACTTGACGTGTATTCAAACAGGAACAAACAAGCTAAGGTGCCAGACTCCACACAACACAGGCATGGTTGTGAAAGTCAAAATGACTTTCAGTGCGATGTTCCCACCGACTGACTTGGTGACTCCCATCAACTCGCTCGCGCTGTATTGCACTTTGGAAGTTAGACGTTAGAAAAGCACAAAAAATGTTTGGAGTCTGCAGGAACAGCAGTGCTTTGAGCTTAATGCTAAAAAAATGTATGACTTAAATTAATAAAATAACTTTTATGACATTTCTTTGATTAACTGACTTATTTTCTGAGATCCTTAGGCTATGTCATATGATATTGAGACTATTTAGTCCAATATTTCATATGACTTTCTTATTACTTTTATGATAATCTATACGATGACATACATTCAAATGTTTCAACATACTATACAATGGTCTCTCATATTTTTGGACATAATATACTATGTTGTTTCTTTCTCATATTTTCGACATAATATGGCCTACTATGTCGTTTTTATAAAAAACAAATTGACATACTATACTTTTTGTAAAAGAAAAAATTCGACTTACTATACGACGTTGTTTTTTCCTATTTTCGATACTCTCCACTGCTCTGTAAACTACATACTTCTCAATGACCTCCTATGATATGCCTTTTTATACCATACTCTACTATGATTTATAATGACATATTGATGATTTACTACACAATACCTGCATTATGACCTGTTTATAACCTTTTCATGACATACCATAATATCACTGTTTAATAAAAGTTTTTTTTTACATACTATTTTGTGACGGTAACTGTTTAGCGGTGAATTTCCCTGAAACAAACGAAAATTAGTCAGTTTTAGTTTATGATCAGCCATCAATCTAATCGCAATAGAAAAACATTGGCTTACATTTGGCTCATAGCAAGGTTTAAGTTCCTCTCTGCTATGCTATTATATCATCATAACTACCCTTAAAAGATTTATTCTGTTACATATGTGTGGTGGTCAATTATTTATTTATACTAATGAGTGTGCTATGCATCCATTATTCATGGTCACATTGGGTCTGTCTTCCTGGAGCACTGCTGACAGAGGGAAATGGAGGGGAAGATGGGAATGGAGGCTTGATTGTACCCTAAAGGAGTGGACACCAGAGACTGAGCAGGCCGCAGAGGAAAGCTTTCCAACCGTTCAGACGTGTAGCCAGTTTCCCGGGGAAGGCACTTAACCTGTGACTAACGTAAAGAATCACATCCAGCTGATTAGAGAAGCCGCTCTGCTCGAGGATCTGATCGAATATTCAACTTCAGCATGTAATCACACAGAGAGATCATTCTCCTCTGACGACGAGCAGCCCCACATGTCATGGACATTTGTGTCAACAAGGGGCAATCCCATGATGCATCATTCACAGTGGTTAAATTATAGCTGTTCCTGAATATGACAAGTATGTTTGAACAGTGTCAAAAGTCATAGTTTGTCAGCAGTAGAAGATGTATTCAGATCATTTGCATAAGTAAAGTGTAAAAGCACTACTCCAATATTTAGTATTGCACCTTAGGGATGTGGGCAAATTCATTTTAGACTACCTAGCAGTATGACTCAGACATGTAACCTCTATGACAGGTTAGCTGTCTAAATCACATCACAATCACATCATAATTTTAGCCTGTAAGAAATGTCGTGAAGTTGTCCTAATGAGCGTCCAAAATGTGTTTTTTGAGGTCGCCTTTGACCACCAAAATCCAAATAGTTCGTTCTTTAATCGCCGTTGAAGTTTGTGGCACATTTTAAATAAATTCCCTCCATTGGTGTGGAAGCTTTTCCTTTCTTGCAGTGTATAGGTTTTTATACAACACTTACGGCACTCACTTCGAAAGAACAGAGCATTTCTTACTGATTTTATTCATTCCAATGTTCTTAGTTGTCCAATATAACTGACACAACCCAGGGCTTTGGTCTGCTTTTCC